CCCGCTTCCCGCCCGCCCCTTCCTCGCCCCGGCCTTCCTTCCGGCTCCCCGGTCCCCCTGTCTCCCCCCCCTCTTTTCCTCGCTCTGCTTCCCTCTTCGGCTTTCCCCCTCTTCTTGTGTCTTGCTGCTTTGTGCTCTTCTTCTTGCTGCTTGGTGGGCTGCTTCCCTGGGTGCTCTTGCTGCTGCGCGGTTCTTGCTCCTTCTGGTGTTCTTGCTGCTTCTCTGCCGTTCTTGCTGCTTCTCTGCTGTTCTTGCTGCTTGTTCGGCTGTTCTTGCTGTTTCTGTGCTCTTCTTCCCGCCTCTTGCTCTTCGCCGCTGCCTTGTGTCCTTGTTGGCTTTCCCCCTGCTTCGCCCCTCGGTTGTCTCGTCTGGTCTTCTTCTTGGTCTCTTGGGTGGGCCTTCGCCTGCTTGGGTGTTGCTTCTGTTTCGCCCCGCCTGCTCGGTTCTGTGCCCTCTGTTTCTTGCTTTTGCTCCGTTCCTTGTCTCCGTGTGTTCTCCTTGCGTTTGCCCGTGTCTCCGCCTGGTTTCGGGTTCCCCCCCGGTTCCCGGGGCGTTTTTGGTGCCCCGCGTCCGTGGGGGGTCGGGGGGGTCGGGCCCCGCCCCTCCCCGCGGCCTCTTGGGCCCCGCCGGCCGCGGGCGGCCGCGGGCCCGGCCGGCCCCGCTGCCCGCCCGTGCCCCGGCCGGCGGTGCCCCTCCCCCCCCGGCTCCCCGCTGGTTTGCCCCCCTTTGGGCTTTTGGCTTCCCCGTTTGCTGTTCCCCGCCCCCCGTGGTGTCCCCCCGGCCTCCGTCTCTCGTGCCTCTGTCTCGTTTGCTCTTTCGGGTCCCGTTCGTCGGTTGTCTGCGTCTTCTCTCTTGCCTGCTCGTTGCCTTGGTCTCCCGTTGCCCTCGGTGCCCGCCGTCTGCCCCCCTTCGGCTTCTTCTTCGTCTGTGCCGGCTCCCGCCTCGGTTTTGTTCTCCGTTTTCTCCCCCTTCCCCCTGTGTTCCTGTGGGTTGCCTGTGCTTGCTCTGTGTTCTGTGTGCCTGCTCCCCCCCTTCGGTTGCGCTCGGCTTGGTTCTTCCTGCGCTGCGGTTCCGCCGCTGGCTGCGGTCCGCTTTCCCCTCTTGGGCTGCGGTCCCCCGTTTGGTTGCGCTCCCCCGTTTCTCCCTGCGCTGCGGTTCCTCTTTCCTGGCTGCGGTCCGCTGCCCTCCTCTTGGGCTGCGGTCCCCTGTTTGGTTGCGCTCCCCCTCTGCTGCGCTGCGGTTCCTCGGTCGGTTGCGCTCGCCCCCTCCGTGTTGCGCTCCGGGGCCGGGTGCTGCGGGGCCGTGTCCGCGCTCTCTGCGCTGCCCCTCCTGTCTGGGCCTGCGCTTGGTCCTGTGGCGCCCCCCCGTGTGCTCTGTGCTGCGCTCTGGCTGCGTTGTTGTTCTGCGTGCTCTTGGGGCTGTGCCTCTGGGCTTCTCTGGGCCTCGTCTCTGTTGGGTTCTGCTTCTTCCTTGTGCTTCTCTTCTCTGTCTTGCCTGTTGTCCCTGTCTCTGCTTGGTCTCCCTGTTGTCTGTGCTTCGCCCTCTCTGTTGCGTCTCTCCCTGTTTTCCCGCTCGCGTCTCGTCGGCTCTCTCTTCCTGCTTCCCCTGGTTTTTCGTCTCTCTCTCTCTCTCTCTCTCTCTGTCTTGTCTTTCCCCGCGTTGGCGTGGGTTCCCCGCCTCTCTCGCTGCCCCGCTCTCTTTGGCTTTCCGGCCCCGCCGCGTCGCTCCCTGGCGCGCGCTCGCCGCTTGGGCGTCGCTTCGCTCGTTTTCCCTTTCGGCCTGCGTGCCCTGCTTTCGTCTTGCTCCTGCTTGCGGTTTTCGCCTTTCGCCTGTGCCCCTGCGTTCTCTCGCTCGGGTGTGGCCTCGCCCCCCGTCCTCTTTGTCTCGTCTTTTGGGCTTTCCTGCGCTTCTCTCTTTCTTCTCTCCGTTTTCCCCGTCTTGCCCCTCTGGGGTGTTCCGTTGGTCCCGCGCCTCCGTTTGCCCCTCGGCTCCGCCTCTTCCGCCCGCCCTTCGGCCCTTCGGCTTGCCCTCTCGCGTCTTTCGGACCCCGCCCCTTGGCACTCTCGGCCGCGTGATGCGCTGTGCCCCGTCCCCTCACCCCTCCCTTTCACCTTCCTCCCCCCTCCCGACCCTTCCCCCTCCGTTATTAGCAATCCCGAGTCCCTGCCCCATCCTTTCCCTCATGTCACCCCCGGCTGGCCCCAGACCTCGCCGCCCTCGGGCCCACCGCACCTCCCCACCGACCGGCCTTCTGCCGTCCGCCTCGCCCCGACTTCGGCCCCGCCCTTGCCCGGCCCTGCGTCCTCCCTGTCCCCCCTCTTTCTCCACCCCCTCCCCTTGGCACCTTCCCCCCCCGGTCTCGGTGCCCCCCCCCCCCCCTCTGCGGCCACGCCGCCACCCCGCCCTGCCTACGCGGCCTGGCTCCGGCCTTCGACCTCGCATCTTCCGGGCCACACACCCCACTGATCCCTCCCCTCGCCCCCGCTGCTCGCCGTCATCCATTTCCCGTTCTGCACCAGCTGCCCCGCCCGACGCCTCGGCTGGACCCACGTCTGCCGGCCCTCCGCCTTCCCGCACCCGCCCCCCAGCCCCGCCCACCCCTCCCCCCGCCCCCTCCGCCTCCCGCCTCGCCACCGCCATGCTCCGCGCCCCCTCTCATGCGCCGTTCCTCTCCCCCTCCCCCCGTGTGCCGCCCCCTCCCGGACCCTCCCCCCCTTCCCTCCGGCTGGCCTCGCCTCCTCACCGCGCTCGTCCCCCCCGCGCGCTCCCGCTCCCCCGGTTACCTCCTCCGGGCCCCTGCTACCCGCCCCGCCCCCGCCCTGCCCCAACCCGAGCCCGGCACCCACCCGGGGCCGCCTTCTCCCCGGCCTCCCCCCTCCCCCCATCTCCCCCTCCCCCCGGGCGACCCGCCTGGGGTCCCCCCGCCCCCGCCTGGGCTCCCCCACCCTCCCCCCGACGGCCTCCGCCCCCCCGGGCAGCCCCCCCTCCCCCTCACCCTCCCCCCGTCCCCCGCCCCCCTTCCGGGGCCGCGCTCCGTAACCTTTCCGCCCCGCCCGGCGTGGCGCCAGCACCCTCTCGTCTCCCGGCCCTCTTCCTGGCGTCCCTCGCCCCCCCCGGCTTGCCGGCCCCTCCTCTTCTTGCCTTCCGGGCTCCCCCTCGTTTCTCGCCACCGGCGTTTCGCCCTAGCGGCCTGCCGCCTCCCCCCGCCCCCCCCCCCCGGGGTCCCCCCACCTTTTTTTTCCGGTTTCCCCCCCACCGGGGTGGCTCGGCGCCCTCCTCCCCTGCGCTCGGCCTGTCCGCCCCGGTCAGCTCCTCTCACACCAGGGGTGGCACATTTCCCCCCCCTTCACTTCCGCCTACCCCCTGGCTGGGTCCCCGTTGCCTTGGGCCTCGGCCTGGCCGGCCGTTCGCCCGCCCCCATCCTCTGCGAGCGCCCCCCCGTGTCCCTCCCGGCGGCCCCCCCGATCCTCGGTCTCCCACCGCGGGCCCCCCGGCCTCCGGGCTCCCCTTGGTGCCCCCCGCCCCTGCCGCCCTCCCTCCCCGGCCGCGGGCCTTCCTCTCCTCGGTCGACGGCCCTCCCCCCCCCCCCCCCGCACCCACCCCCTTCCCCGGGTCCCCGCCTTCACCGCCGTCTTTCCGGCCCCCTCGCCCGGGCCCGGCCCCCCCGCCCCGCGCCTGTCGCAAGTTCCCCCTCGCAATCACATCACCATGGCAGCTGCCCGCTTCTCTCCCCCCCCCCTCCCGTTGGCCCCCCGCCATGCCGGACCTGCCCCCGCCCCTCCCGCCTGCTGCCTCCCGGGTCCCTCCGCCCCCGCACCCTCCCCCTGGGGTGGCCCCGCGTCCCTCTTTGTGTCCCCCCCGGCTGGCCCCTGTGCCTGGTGCCTACGCCCTCCCCGGCCCTTCCCCCCGTCCGCCCTCCCGCCTCTGGTCCCCGAGCCTTCCCCCGGCATCGCTGCCTTGTTCGCCTCCCTCCCGCGGCCGGGGTCTGTCTCCCCCGTTGCCGCTCCGGTCCGCATTCATCACCCCCCCTCCCCCCCGATGGCCACCACCGGCCCTTCCGCCCCCGCGCTTCCGCCCTCGTTTCACGGCCCCAGTCTAGACTTCCCCGTCGCTAGCCCTTCCGGCCTCCCCCCTCGCCCGTCCGCCCTCTCCTCGCCCCTCCTGCACCCGCGTCTTCGCCCCCTTGGCTGCCTTCGTCCCTTGTGTTCCTTGACGCCCTCCCTCGTCCTCTTCCCGCCCCCGCCGCCCTGCCAGCCCCCTCCGGCCTCCCTCTGCCCCCTCTCCGCCGCCCCCCACCCTCTCGACCTCCGATTCCTCCCCTCCGCCTTACTGAGCCCGCCCGTGTGGCTCTTCCTCCGCCCCCGGCATCGCCCCGGCCGCCTTCAGGATGGCCACACCGCCCGCCCTTACCCGTGGCCGTCAGGCTGCCGCCCCCCACGCGCTCTCCTCACACGCCGTCCGCCGCTTCACTTCGGACCTATGGCGGCTCCTCCCGGCACGGTTTGTCACCCGCCCTCTTCCCGCCGC